AATTGACAACGTATGGTTAACAGCATATAAGATAAATAAAACAAAAGAAGCAATAAAAGGTCTTGTACAAAATATTGTAAATACATATTATAATAATACATGTTGTCCCATAAAGACCACGCTTAATTTATGGCGTATGCAGATCGAAAGATAAAGAAGATACTTAGGTAGGTCACCACAAACATTCACCGTAACCACTCCACCAAAAGCTATAAAAATATTCTCAACGTTTCTCATATAGTTCACTAACATACATTCCGCATAGTCCATTTAATTAACCGTATCAGTCATACGAAAGCTTTCAAGATACACCTTTTCAGAATCAAAAGGAACGGGAATGTTTTGGTTTCAAAGCCTTTGCTTTATTATGGACTGGTTTTTACGAGCCCGTAACTCAGGTTCGGACAGGGGATTTCAATGAGCGCTCTCTATGGTCGGGGAATACCCGCTTGATGTATTTCCCTAGTGTTCTCTCTATGAGCGCGCAAAGAATTCAACTGGATAATACGATAGTGTTGAAAGAGAAACTTTATCTCTGGTAATATTATGTTTCATGCAATCTATTTTTTTCTCTCGATGAAATTGAACAAAGAATACGTGTACAAGTACACAGGTACAGTATCGGAAGGTCAAACAGAAACAGACTGTATTCTAATAATTACACTAACATCTGTCTTCTGGATTCAAAACTAGCATCACAAGTATCTATAGTTGCTAAGTCAGGTAGCAAACATACAAGTAATTTGATTTTACTCTTGGTATTTGAATGATCAAACGAACTTACCAAGTGAAGTTCGATCTAAATTATCCTGTTTTCGCCGAAGAGATTTATTTTACCATGTAGTACCCCTGTACGACAACCCAATCCGCACACAATATTCAGCGTAGTAGTATTAAAAAACAAAAGAGCGGGCAACCCCACCCCTACCACGCTGTGGGCTCGGTGTCCGAGCGGTCTCATTATATTTAGAGAAGAGATGACATTGACGTTTACCTCCAGGGAAGAAGATNCCGCTCGGACACCGAGCCCACAGCGTGGTAGGGGTGGGGTTGCCCGCTCTTTTGTTTTTTAATACTACTACGCTGAATATTGTGTGCGGATTGGGTTGTCGTACAGGGGTACTACATGGTAAAATAAATCTCGGAGGCGAAAGCAGGATAATCTCAGACAAACTCACTCGTGTCCCAATAATGATTTGCTTTAGTTAATAACTGCGGTGAACTGAATATATAGCAGCCGTATCAAAGGGTTCCTAATTGTATTTCCCAATATCGTTACACGCAGCATTTCGTAATACACGTTCATATCCCAGTACCTACCTACTCAATATCTCCTAACGCCGTTGGATTTAGGATTTGTCACAGTGGATGCGATCTGCGGTCAGTTGAAAGTGAATATAGCTCGCATCATGTAGTCATAGTCATAGTCATAAATGTTTATTGCATCATGTTGGTATATTTTGATCTTAAATAATAATACAGAGTCCCGAAACATGGCCCTGTAAGGGCATTGCAACATTATAGGTTTCTTTCCTGAGGATAGAGATCTTTGGCTTGGGAATATTCATGACAATTTTTTCTGCCAAGTTTACATATTTCTATAATATACAAAGAGGAAAGTGTAAGAATGCTTAGTTTTAAAGTGAGGTCTGCAACTTTCCATATCTGTAATGTTAACGAGTATTCTAATACCTACATCTTTTTTGCAATATAAATAATTGATTTACTTCTGTACTATTACACCAAAGAATGATTCCGTAATTTAACCAAGAATAAGCATATTTTATGCATAATAGGATAATGTATGAACACCATTGACGAACTCTATACTTTTATATTGATGCAATCTGACTATGCGGGCACGAGCAAAGAACGCAAACTGCACCGCTGACAGATTCCTGTGTCACGACCGCAGACAGCTTTCTCTGACCGACAATGCTGTTCCTACATGACGCGGGCTGCGTTCACTTTATAACCTGACCGCAGATCGCAGAACGCATCTAGTGTGGAAAATCCCTTACACTCACAATCGGTAACCTCCGTAAATTAACCTTTTGGCGACCTGTTTCGAAAACAAAGGTCGCTATTAACAATCCAAGAGAAAGGAGTTCTCTATTAATATTTCATGAACGGAACTCAGTCGAATCAACGTTTCGATTCCGATATTCTTTTCTCACGCCCGAGGCAGGGTTGGCAGATTTGGGTAAACGCTTAAATAAATAAGAAAAGGATGTCCACTGCTGGACAAAGGCTTTCCCCAAGGATTTCCATAACGACCGGACCTGCGGTGCCCGCATCCAGGTGCTTCCGACCTTCAATTATAATAAATACTAACCCTATAATTGTAATTTGAATGGACAAATAAAACTAAGAAAGACATTTCAGGGTTTTGACATGGGTGTAAGTATTTTGCCTGAGTCATGCACGCAATAATGCTCAAAGCTTTTCCTGAAGTGGATTGGATCTTTGATTATGAGTGGCAGGTATCGTATCGTACATCGCAGGTTCAAAATAAATCCCAAAATCACGGATTCATCTTCTGTTCATGTTTTATTCCTCATTCATCTTAAGAATGGGCCATCAAGGTTTACTGTGTCACCTTATCTATGTTAGAAGCAATTTTGCAACAGCTATTTGCTGTAAAAGGAAATGTTTGAATTAATTAATGTTCAATTATTTTACGGCCAAGTTGAAATGACACCCCTAAAAGTAACAAAAAAGATATAGCTGTTGTTCAAGCTTCAATGCAGTTTTCGGTCTCAGTCGCTTTTTATGTTTATTTTTTGATACAGTGAGTAACAGCATGCCTAGTTTATAATATTTTGTTACTGGCTTTGTGAAAATTTGATAAATATCTGGGGGCACGGCAGTGCCCCCACCAAGTCGAGCAAAAAAGCGGCACGGCCGTACCATCCTTTTCTCGAAGCAATTCAGGCCATTTTCGACTGCCTGTAACTTCGTTGTGGATAAAACTAGAAGGCTGAATTTTCATTAGCTATGCAGGCATTGTAAAGACACGGTATATTCAAAATTTCATTCAAATAAATTAGCATAAGTAGTACCAGCATAATTTTGGTTTTATTTCGATTTGTTTTATTTATCTTTGTTTATTTGTATTGTATATGGGATAGATAATAGTTAATTGACACATTTTGACAATAATCCATGAATTTTACTTGGGGAATTTGGAATAATCAGTATCACGAAACAAGGAACCGTGTTATTGTTACTTTTTTCCAAGTTCGTGATATATAAATGTATGGTGTTAGGTTCTTTTATGACACATACCATCAAAGAAATCGACATATTTTTTAGTTTTTAATAGTTACCTACCTAAGAAATTAATTAATTACTTACTTTTTATTATAAGTCATTGGCGTATCTGGGGTTATTTTCAGGGGGGGGTCTACCCTCACTTGAAACAGCTCCAGGGGTGGGATTATGGGGAGAAGGGGGGGGGGGTACAAATAACAAATCAAAATTTTATGGGTACGAAGGAAGGGGGGGGAGGGGTAAGTAATCCCCACATTTATATAAATATTTTCACATCATCATCATCATTATGATTTCAGCCATAGGACGTCCACTGCTGAACATAGGCCTCCCCCAATGCTTTCCATGTTGATCGATTGGTAGCGGCCTGCGTCCAGCGCTTCCCTGCTACCTTTACGATGTCGTCGGTCCACCTTGTAGGTGGACGTCCCACGCTGCGTTTTCCGGTACGCGGCCTCCATTCCAGAACCTTTCTGCCCCATCGGCCGTCAGTTCTGCGTACTGACTCACTGACTCACCGATCATCAAAACTCTAAGGCACTTCTAGCAGACCTAGAAGCTTCAAATTTGGAATATAAGTAGTGTTTGGTGTATGAATCAAGGAAAAACTAAAATATTTGGGGGCACGGTAGTGCAACCGCCAAGTCGAGTAAAATTTTTCATTTTCGGTCCAGTTTTCTAGATACATAACTGCTGTCTACAAAATACAAAAAGAAATGAGATCCCATCAAAAACAATACTTGTCAAAAAAACCAAGTCTCGCAACTCAGTTGTTCTACGGTAAAAAGTTGTGAGATCCATGTAATACCAAGTCCAGGCCAGGAAATCTTTAACGTTTGACATAAATATATTGACTTGGTCATCGCATGAAAACACGTGTAAATTAAATTATTTAGTGCGATGGCCAAGTCAATAATTTATGTAAAACGTTAAAGATTTCCTGGCCTGGACTTGGTATTACATGGATCTCACAACTTTTTACCGTAGAACAACTGAGTTGCGAGACTTGGTTTTTTTGACAAGTATTGTTTTTGATGGGATGTTTATGTCCGCTTGAAACACCAAAAAAACCCTATAGGAATTTATAAATTCACCACGCAGTGTGCTATCATCACCAAAGTAAATTGTGAGTACAAAAAATATAGTATTGAAAATGGTTTAAAATTTTTGGAACAGAAAATAAAATGTATAAAACTGTCAAATCGTATCTAACCGAAATAAAAACAGTTTTCCCACTGTCTGTTTTATCTTGGTTTCGGTTTTATTTTCTCTATGCTATAAACGGGACTATACTACCCCTCGTTCGTGCTGCAGCTATTCCTGAATTTCTGAATTCCTGTGTAGCCAGGATCTACAGCTGGACCGCTAATAAAACCCAAATTGAGTTTCAAAAGAGAGATGAGAGTGGACTCTTAACTAGTTCGGATTAAACTATAATTCCTGACATAAAACTGGTGGAGAATGCCACGTGGCATTAAGTTCGCATTCTGTACTTTTTTTTTCTGTGCAATAAAGTTTTAATTAAATAAACAAAAATAAAGCAATAAGGCTGACAAAAGTGGCCAAGTTTCTTCTGTTATGTACTTTTTATTACTGACAATGAACCGAAGGAAAAATAAACGGGGGGTTTGCATACTACGATAAAAATGACAGGATTTCACAACATGATCTCAAAGATCAGAAACATTTATTCAAATACCTAAGCATAGTAAATTTACAAGCGTATCCTTAAGATTCACTGTAGAGGGATTTTTGCAAATCCTCCGGCGAGGCCCGATCTTGATACATGGCTACTTGCGGGGTTTTTTGACGCGTTTCTTCCCCCTCTTGCTGACTTTGCCCTCGGTCGACTCCGCTTGAGATTTCACATTGCGAATCACCATGTTTCTATAATTGTAAAACCCCTCCTCCTTAATATTACTCATCCTGGTTTTCCTCTTCGTGCTCTCGTCGGATATCGAGGCCTTAGAATTCGTATTCGTTTTCGCCTCGCTGGGACGGGGTTGCTTTGCTTTCTCTTCTTTCTTAGCCCTTTCTTTACTCATGTTTGTTAGTAGAAAGGGATTGTTGAAATCATGAATTTGTTTGAATCCCACATTATCCTGAGCCCACGGGATTATCGCGAATTGGTTTTCGGCGATGACAGAAACTTGTGTGACATTTGACGTCTAAATAAAAGTTGGAATAAATCTAGATGACTGCGGAAGTAGGTTGATATCTAGTCTATGTTCATAGTACTTTTCGCAAAATGTTGTAGGCAAGTTCTTGAACTTAAATAATAGCCAAGTTGCTTACCTAAATGCGCAAACTAGTAGAAGTTGGTGTACACGTTTGCAAGCGATTAATTAAGTAGAAGAACCTCAGACAAAAAATCAGATTCATGAAAATAAGCAACAAGTAGTTTTCAAAGAAATGTAAAATCCAAGTTATAGTTACCTATTTCTATTATTTACGTGTATCACGTGTATTATTTTGTGTTAAATCCCACGTGTGCGCAACCTGGGTCAAAGTCTAGTGACGTAATGGACAACTATCCTAGATTACTACGTCACTATCGATTATTAAGATAACATATTTTCTAGCGATAATAAAGGCAATATCTATGAAAAATAATCCTATTCTCTACGACCATATCATACACACGTGCTTCTACGAATTAATAGGGCTATATTAATCGTGTAGACTGGGTATATCAGATGATAACACACAGAGAATCTAGGGTATTTACTTACCTAATTATGTAACCCACCCAAGATGTGAATAACTTTTTTTACTTTATACGAAGCGAATTGAAAAAGGGCTGAGACGTAATAGTCCGGTAAAACAAAAGTTTCATACGAAAGTAAGTAATATTAGGTTGCTAAAACTTCTTTTTGTTGAACTGTAACTTACCTCTTTCGTATTCCGTAGTTCATACGATACGGGCGTAGGCTTAATGGAACATGAAAGTTGGAAAAGTATAGGTTTTTCTTGACATGTAATATTTTACATACTATTAAAACGATAAAATATCATAAAAAGACACATCTAATGTTATTCTTATTATACTAACTAATGCTAAACCGAAAGCATAAAAGGGAGTGTATATTAGTGTGTTACCATGTGAAACTTAGGAAAATTTATAAGTTTTGAATCTAGTCATGAAACGTTGATTGGAAGCATCCACACCAAATTGTATCGCATCCATAATATGTAGTATACTCGTCCAATCGGCCTGATATAAAGTTGAGATACAAATAAAATAAACAAGGGCGATCGAATCAGAATTCAGGAGATCCGCAGGAGATCCAAAGTGACTGTCATTGGCATCGCTCGCAGAATTACTAAAATCAAGTGGCAGTGGGCGGGGCACATAGCTCGTAGAGGCAGCTTTCATAGTTTAAAACAATACATCGTTCTTCAATGCAATACACAAGCGCTGGAAATAAGAGCAGAAGGTAGTAATAATCGATATAAAATACGGTTTCACGTCGCGTCGGCGGAGTGGCACAAATCACGGCATTCCGAAGTCGGTCGATACAGGCGATGGTGGAGTGACGCAGGGCTTGCACAAGTTATAATTGTTTATTTATTTTTTATGCAGGACATGGCAGGTATTTGACCGTTATCGTACCTGGTGTTAAGTAAGATGCAGTCTAGGATGGTACATATCTGCCCTGTACCTAAGTGCCTATTCACTCTCGCCTTGAAAAGGCCCGGATTATAGTGTTCAGGAAAGATAGCAGCAGGCAGCGAGTTCCAGTCCCTAGCTGTTCGCATTATAAAAGAGTTATCGAAATGCTTAGTGCGAGCTGGTGCTTATACTCTTCCAGTAAACTTTAGGAACAAAACCAAATGTATGTATAGTTGTAGAGATACTTGAGTGTTTTATTAAGGGTCAACATTTTTGATAGGCTTATATGAGAGCTACGTAGCCATCTTAAGGTCTACTTAGTTGTAGCACGTCTTGGAAAAACTCGACAGTAGGAAGTTATATTACAATTAATCTCCAACGCCAAAATACTTTCGTAGCTAGTTAAGCATTTAATTTATTAATTATGACAATGAATAAAACGTAAAAGCTGTAAAAGGTCTACTTTGTGAAACTTTTTGATGATAAAAGCTCATTAAAACTTGTTTAAAGAGTCGCCTAACTTTTATCAAGATGTAACTCCATCTTTAAAATATTACCCACTTCTAAGCGTTAAAAACATTATTGTCTTAAAAGGAAACTTTTTATTGGTCCATTTTTATAATATTTGTACGTTTAAAGAACATTTTATAATATATTTTAAACAAATTCCTAAAATAGAGAGAATTACTTATTTTTTATTTTTGTATCTAATATGTAGGTAATTCATGAAAAGGTTTACATTTTATTTCTAATTAGACTATAAATTGCATCTTTTTAAATAAATATTTTTTTTTTAATTTCAAGGTTTCTAAATTAGCAACCCTTTTAATATTGCAGCAAGAAATCTCTTTAATTTTTTTAACCCTCTCTCTACAATCTATTATTTTTCCTACAATGAAACCGAAAACTAAGTCATCAAGCAGAAGGTGTAGAAGTTATTTCAGAAACAATTTTCCCTAGCAAAAGGGATCGTTTTCTCAATATTCGCCAAGTCGGCACCGTTCCTTGCTCCCGGGCTATTGTGTATGTATTTTATTTCACATAATCATCACTACTCCCGGTTCCCTACTTGTTTATTGCGTATCCTGGGAGGGAATTGCCTCTTGAGACGTAAAAAAGCGAATACATGGGAGCCCCAGGTTTTCTAGTGTCTATTTTGAATAAACAAACTGCAAAGTGAGCTGGTAAATAGTTCAATGATACAAGCAGAATAATCAGCGATAATTGCTGGATAAATAAATAGCAAATGACGTGTTTTGACGTGATCACGAATTGCCAATGAATACTAATTTATAATGAATATATCAAATGTAGCAGCTGTGTTGCATTTTGCAGATAATGTGTAGGTAGTCACGTACTTTTGGTTACTTTGGACTTACAATTCAAATTCAAATTTTTAATTCCTCCATGTTGGTATACAAAAGTTCTTAAATAATAGACATAGACCCGTAAGAGGAACCCTGCTAGCTGCTGCTGCTTAAAAAAACAGGAATTATTTCTTGTGTTAAGGAGTTATTGTTCCTGTAGAACGCTCAAGACATTTTTTAATGACCAAAAGTTGTTAAGAACCAAATTTATCGATGTAGACTAAGTGTAGACAAGGCTATCGCGAGGCTCTACCAAAAAACTCCGCGGTGTTACTTAAAGCAGTTCTTTCTTACGTCCCAAACGGAAAACTTTCAGGCATTAAACTCCCGCCCTGGGTTACTCCGGATTTTAATGTGAAAACTTATTGGGATTTGCTCAAAATGTAACCGTTCCTTGTGAATGAGTAATAGGTCATGTGATTTTATTAGAAAAGTTACGAAATTGTTGGCGTTTTTGCTGCAATTCGCGAAGTTGGAATTTATGATGAGGTTAGAACTTTAATTCTGTATTTTACTATTCTTAGGAGTTGAATCACTTAAATTATATAGCACTTGCTTAAACTTTCACGTGTGTAAAGTTTTAGAGCGAATTTATACGGTATTAAAACTCTGATATGAATATGAAATATGAATAATGAAAATAATACTATCCAATACCAACCCTACAAGCTAGCGTGCTGGTAATCATTAAGCAAACAAAATATTACGTTTTACGTATAGCTCTTGTGACAAACATAATAATTAGAGAGTAAATAACTCATGACAAGGAAGACGTATAAAAATATAATTTAACTATCCAAGATTAATAGACGAACAATGTTAAGTAGGTATGTGGTTTGATACAGTTACCAATCATTTATCATTTTGAGTTGTTTATAAATTATTTTTATTTATAGGTTATAAGCTTCAGTACAGTAAATCACAATTAAATACTAACTTACGGCCAATTGTTAATTGAACATGCATTTAAACATAAGACGATGTATTTTACAATTTAGAGGGTAATAGATTGATTCACAAAAACTCATGAAACTCATTTATTTTCGTAAGTAGGCTTTTAAAAAGTACTTTTACACGTCCCAATATTAACCCTACCACTGCTTCGGGACAATAAATGGGCCAGTGCTGAGAAGAAGCAGCACAAGAAACTCAGTCAGCCATTAAATAAATCCATTTGAATAAAAACACTTCATTTTTGCATAATAATTGAGAGCGAGCCCCCAAGCTTGTCAGACAAATCAGCTAGTCACGCAAAGTTAAATATAACTTGTTACATGCACAAATCGTGATAAACATTTACTTTTTTTATTTACACGACAACGTTAATACTGGGTGCCAGTCAAGATGGGTGTGTGTTTGTTATGTCGTTGAACTTAGATTTTAATTTATTATTACACAAAGAGCTCTTTAAATTAAAGTTATATGGGAGCGGCACGAGAGGGTGTTATTGTGACGTCAAACGTCAATAAAACTTCAGATTTGTGTGCTTTGGGCGTCACGTCATCATCATCATCATCTCGGCTATAGGACGTCCACTGCTGAACATAGGCCTCCCCCAATGCTTTTCATGTTACCCGGTTGGTAGCGGCTTGCGTCCAGCGCTTTCCTGCTACCTTTATGATGTCGTCGGTCCACCTTGTGGGTGGACGTCCTACGTTGCGTTTTCCGGTACGCGGCCTCCACTCCAGAACCTTGCTCATCGGCCGTCAGTTCTGCGTACTATGTGCCCTGCCCATTGCCACTTCAGCTTGCTAATCCGTCGGGCTATGTCAGCGACATTAGTTCGTTTACGGATCTCCTCATTTCTGATTCGATCTCGTAAAGAAACACCGAGCATGGCCCTCTCCATAGCACGCTGTGCAACTTTCACGTGTGTGGCGTCACGTCATTACATGTCAATGTCACCCTTCCCGTACCGCTCCCATAGCCCCAGGCACCGTCTGAGTGAAACTCTAGAACTAGTATGTGGACCCTTTAAATCAGGGCGCATCTAGCTGTATATCACTACTTCAACGACAAACTAACGATAATCCATGAAATTGTCAACTTCCTGTTCGCTATAATGACTTGTATCGGACTGATTTAGGTCATGCTTATTACGCTAACATTTACGTAGTTGAGTGGTATTTGAGTGGGTCACAAATTCAGGCTACTATCCTAATTCCAT